TGGGAGGGAACCAGATGAAACTTCCTCCAGTTCACCAAGAACCCGAACCCAGCGAGATGAAAAAGAACCAGATCCCTGGCCAGCAGACAAGCGGACTGGCTGGGAGCCCAAACAGCCAGTCGTCGAGGTAGGCCAACACCCGAACACCTAACATACACAGATGGGTCACCACAACCCGCGTGAGGTGTGTGAAAACACGAGGTGCCAGGTTCAAACCGAACGGGAGACAACGAAAGCGGTAAGCATGAAGCCGACAACAAAACCGAGCCAGTCCCTGAACCTCGGATGAATCGGGACATACCAGTAAGCGTCCCAGAGGTCCAGGAACACCATCCAAGCGCCCGGCTCCACAGGAGCCGAACCTGGGACAGCGTGGTCATCCGAAAGCTGGGGCAATGAACCCAGGGGTTCAGACGGGACAAGTCCAGAATGAACCGCAGGTCCACGCAGTCCCATTTTGGGATTGGACGCTTATTAGTGTTACGACCCTGGATTCTTCAGTGGAAACCAGAGGTCAAAATTGAGTTATTAAACTTTCCTATAGTATAGTTGAACGCATCACGAGCTGAAATTGTTTGTATCTTCCCTGCCAGACGTAAGACTATTCTTGTTTCTCAAAGAGCATTTAAAGACTGAGCTGGGGGTTGATTATTAAATAATAACATAGGCACCAACTATGTTTACTAATACTTTAATCATTTGTAAAGTAACAATACGTTGCATAGGGGAAGATTTTTAATGTGCTTAGCTGCACGATCAATTAGGCTCCTTCCAGCACCACCACATGCGGGAGGCCTAAGCTGGTCGCTGGGAGCATGCTTCTTCTGGCTGGCGTTCGTGGGGACGAGACCCACTCTGTGGCTGCACCCCTACTCTCCTCCCTTCTCCTCTTACTTATTTCCCTTACCTTAAGTTCCTGTACCATTAAGTTAAGTATGGTGTTTTAAGTGTGCCTACTCTGGTAGTAACGATTGGTGAGACCTGGGGGTAGTATTTGCCAGTGTTTTGGGTACCCCTAAGTGTTGTGTTTTGTATTAGGGTACCACGTGGTCTCACTACCCTAAGCTGCATCCAGCTTCAGTGCTTATCCAGTAGTACTTTACCCTAGCTTGTTCTCAGTGTAAACCTTGTATTCTGTCTAAGTGGACCAAGGCTTTTAACGTAAGATAGGGTGGTAAAGTTATTATTATTATTGTTATTGGTGTGAGTGTATATGGGGGGTTGTTAAGGGGTTAATAAATAAGTAAATTAGAACAGAGTATCCCTTCTTCCTGTGTGGGAGTGTATTGATCAACCCTTAGACTGACATGGTCTAGTAACAAGTATTATTACTGTGGATAGTTTATTTTGGGGGCCGGGGCTTTTAGCTCTCCCATATTTGATAACTCTGTATTCTAACTACCCTTACCCCTTAATAGTACCAGTTTCCCCATAGCAAGCCCACAATTTATTGTAACAAGCACGTCCAATAAGGGATGGGTTTCCCATGACAGGAAACCCATCTGAGGGACGTCATCGTATCGACCACACCCAAGTGAACCCACTTCAAGACGACTAGACAGAGCGCAGGGGAAGAAGCTTGCCCTGCCAGCCCCGAACCTCCCGCAGGGGAAGGGGCTGGCGTTAGGTGGCAATGCCACCGGAGGCCGTGCGAAACAACCCGAAACGCCCACAAATCGTGGGACCAGGCGTGAGCAAACAGCGCAAGCCTTCCCCCCACATCGCCCCATCAATGGGGCGAACCACGAAAGGGCCGGCGCCCCTTACAAAACCCAGAACCTCGCACTGAGCGAACACCGTGTCGACCAGACGAAGGCGGGTCCCAAGGAGGAGCCAAACCCGAACCCGACACCAGTGGCTTACCACGACAAGAGGAACCCCGAGCCTTGGCACGACCCTTCCAGGAAGGTCCACCACGGGACCCCCCGGAGAACCAGCAAGTCTGACATAGGACAGGAAGAAGCCGAAGCAGCCTGTATATACTGCGCAACGGCAGAAGCCTCAAACAAGAGAGGACAAAAAGGGGAAGACATCCTAAGAGGGGAGGAGACTTGAATGCCTCCGTCACCATACCGGAAGGGGCATCCTCTGAGGCTGCCTGAGTCCCTAACAGTGACTAACTGTTAGGGACCACGTCCAACTAACCCCTGCCCCGACTCCCAAACCCTCAGACGTTTCGGGGCCGGAAGCAGGGGAGGGGAACCAGAACGAACAGAAGGAGAAGGACTAGAGGGGTGCGGACTGAACCAGGGTCGAAGTGACCCCCCACCCCCAAGTCCGGGTCCCTATAGGCAAAACAGGGCAGCCGTGGAGCATCCAGGTGAGCAACCAACCGAGTGCGTTGCAACAAACAAAACCTAAAATGCAATGCCTGCGCAGCCTTTACCCGAAGATGATCATCCATAGATTGGGTAAATTGAGTCACCAGCAAGCAGCAATACTCACAGGACTCAGGGTCGAAAGTGTCATCGACCCAACAGGCTGTGTGTCGGAAGCAAAAACAGAGAGGGTCGCCCTGAGACAAGGGAACCGAACAACCCTCAAACTTGCCTGAAGCAAGGGGAGACTCCAGGGTCACATCCATCAGACCCACCCTGGGGATTCCCAGGGTCCTGAGCATTTAGTTGAAGAGGACTCGTGATCGGGTACACCCAGGCAGGGTACTGCTAACTGGAGCCCAAAACTACCAAACAAACTGTCTAAAGCTGAACCCCTGGGACGTATACACTCACGAGGGACCAAGCAGGGGGCACCACCAAGTAGCAGGGTGAGGCCAAACACCAGTGGCAAATAGGGCAGAACCCCTACCAAGGCAAAAACAAAAAGAAAAACAAAACCCCCGCAAGGAGACAACGTACTCCAAGGAACAGAGCCGAGTGCTGTGATAGGTGACAACAAGCTGCGCAGCACCCTGCGCCCCTTACCAGTACAAAAACTGCCTCTTACCCTAAGGTAAACAGGGCGGCAAAAAAAACGAGCAGTTAAACGTACCCACAGAGGCAGACCCCGAGGAACTTGTGGAAGGTAACCCCAAGCTCCAAGGGGAGTACTTACACAATATTTTTGAAGGAAACTTCAGCCTGTGCACATCGTTTTTAGGAAACTTATATATTTGTTATTACATAATTACTAGTATTTCTTTTGTTTTTGGCTATGATGAATTGTTCTAAAATTAATGGTAATTCCTGGACCCAGGTGGTCCCTCCCGACGCTCCACTCCCACCCACCCACCCCACCTCCAACTCCATGTGCCTCAAGCCAGCCAGCCACAGCCAGACGGGATTAATACGGTATGGCCCGCCCCATGGCTTTCATATCCGGACAATTCAATGATTATCCGGCTGACTGTCCTGATAGTGTAACATCGGCAGCAAGTTAACACTTTCGCGCTCTCAGCGCTCAAAAAAAAACAATACCCCAGATGCTTTCGGCACTTCGCGCGCCTACGCGGTAAGACCGAAAAAGTGTACACTCTTTTGACTGTCCTGGCAATAATTGAAGGCGCACGTATTTAAATTTGGTATCACTGTGTTCGCAATGAAATTGTCTATAAGAGCATACCTATAAAATGCCGCCCAAGCATAAGGAGTATCAACACCAAATAAAAAACTATGCAGATCACTCGCCGAGAGCGCCAAACAGCAACAAAATGTTTCCACTCTCTTAATGGTTGCGAAGCCTACAGTTGTCCTACGTCGCTAATTTTGGTATCATTGGAATCACAATAAAATTCTCTACACGGACATATGACTATGAATGTTTAATATAGGTAATTGCCCACCCGCAAGAGTGTGTGAAGTGGAGAGTAGTTAGCCGCGAGCGCACTGGCGAAAACACAGGGGGGAAATCATGCTTGGAAAGTTTATACGTTTCCTGACCCTACTTTTCTATGTACGTATTTCTTTTTTATACCAATGTGTTTGCAACAAAATTTTCTATAAGATGAACTGTATAACATTTGTACAAAGCATGTGTAAGAGAAGCGCCAAATATAGAACCACGTCGCTCAGTATGCGTTCGCGGCAGAAACGAACGCATTGTTTTTGTTCGTTTGATGTTTGTCATGTTTATACTTGTTGAAACATTTATAATTTGTATGACAGTGATCGCAGTAAAATTCCCTACACAGACATATACATAACACATACAAATATTTCCCACGTGTTGGATATATCAACGGCTAAAGGGAACCCACTGCCACACGCTCGCCACACCCCCAAACATACTTTGTGTATTTTTTTTTTTACTCATAGAAGTTTAAGTGATATAATATTCATTCTGGTACCAAAAAATTCGCAAATAAATTCTCTACAAAACAAAAGTATCCCCATCCATTTCGGTTAAAAAATGGAATTTATAGAAATATTTTTTCGATGGACGAGAAAAGTAGGCTGTTATGTGGAATCGTAAGAAAAAACGGTGACGAGTTATCTCTAATCTAAAGCGCGAAAGTGTTAACTGGCTCCAATTTTTTATCCAGCTAAACCAGCTTTTATCTGGCTCCCATGGTCATTTTGACCAGATATAGAGATAACTTTATCCGGTCACGATTTTGGCCGTATAAGGGCGTTTTCTGGATGTTCGAATCCCGGATAATCAAGTGGTTACAGTAGATGCATCAATAAAAAACACAGAATTTCCTGTTTTATAATTGAGGGTCCCTGTAGTACAGTCGGGTTCGTTCTCGATGCACAATTGAGAATTCCAAGTTCAAATCTCAGGCGGGACAGAAATCGTTGGGCACATTTCCTTTCACCTAATGCACCGTTCACCTAGCAGTAAGTAGGTAATCAGGAGTTAGTCAGCTTGTTGTGGGGTAGCTTCCTGTGCGGGTTCAGTGCAGTAATTTGACCTTGGGGGGTAGGAGGGGGGAGCGGAAAGTGGACCTCAATAAAAGCTTAATGTGGATGAATACACTCTGGCTTCCTGTCCCCTAACACAATGAATTATTATAATAATAAAGAAGGAGCATCTTTAAAGATCTAATATAGCACTTTTACCTGAAAGATCTTCTCATTTGTTGTGAGTTTGGGTCTTGCAAACTTGAGGTTAATGGGGTAATTGGTTTCATCTGCCAGAACAGCCATGGCATCTCGACCATCATCTAACTGCTGGCCGGTAACTTTCATCCCATTCACAGCCACAAGTGTATGACCCACTGAAACAATAACAAATAACCGTGTATAGTACTGTACTGTCAAGCCTTTCCAATCCAAAACGTCTAATTTCAAGAACTTTATTCAGACACATAGGTCACAATAAAATGACTGAAAAATTATGACACCCAACCCACAAAATTGAAAATATAGTACAAGAATTTGCAATGCATCAATCCATCCTGGACTTGATAATAGTCCAGGACAGACCAAATTTTTTTTTGTTTAGAATTGTGTGTTGGGTACCTAAGAACTTTATTCATTTTGGATGATTTCAGTTTTAGGACAATGTTGCTGAACAGCATCTAGACACCATTTCTAGAGCATGTACGGAGCAACACATTAAATGTTGGCTGGTAGTGTAATTCTATTTTGTTATATTATTAAACCAAATAGTGTTTTCACACCACAACAAATATTTTGAGAGGGTGGGGTGTTTCAACTGCTCACTTGGCCACTTCCCCATTCTCTAACTCTCTCAGTTAAGAAATGATTAGAGTGCAGGTCAGGCCTGCTATTTTAGGCTTAAACCATACCCCTAATTGCACAGGATTCCATTTAAAACATACAATTTCAAACTTTAAATTGTTTAAAAATTTAAAACAAAAAATTCTGGAAATTCTAGAATTATTACCTTTAATACCATCGCGCTGGCCATAGGACACAATGATACTCCTGTTCTGGACATCAAGTTTGACCTCTAAAGGATAGCTGAAGGTCTTTTCATTCTCTACAACTGGAATATTGTGGTCATGCTGGTATATAAGTCCACCCGACTTGCTCAAAATATATAAGCTGTATATCGTCATTGGGCCTGTAAAATGGAAAGTAATACAGTATCAGTACTGTATATACTGGTTAACCCTTAAACGGCACACAACGGGGGCCGGGAAGCAAAACATTTGAATTTTGTAAAATTAACTTAAAAATGTTAAACAAATCTCCAACTTATTGGCTTCAGCATCGTGAAACTTTCAGCAAAATATTTTCAGAAATTGAATTTAGACTAATTTTTTTAAAAAAAAAGCAACATTGATGTTGATAAGGAGAAGAGGTGGTGTTAACTGGAAGTGATGGATAATACAATAATAAAGAGATGCAAGCACCTGTCCCACACATAAAGAAGAATAATAGTAGTAAGAAGTGTTCACAAAGTGGATATGCAGCTGGTGCCTTTATAGCATTGCTCAGTAACACATAATAACATAAATAATAATGAGTAACTATCTTATTATGCTCTATTTTGCTATATATCATATAAATACATTGACCAATCTTATTATCACTTACTTTCATCAATGCCCTTTTTTTTTTTTTTTTTTTTTTTTTTTTTTTTTTTTTTAAGTATTTAGTTTTTTCTCCTTTGTTTGTTATCTGATTTTGTTGTAACCTTTACATCCTGGAGAGTACATACCCGTCCCTAACTATGTGAAGATAGAACGAAGTTGGTCAACAAATAAATCGGTCACAACTGGCAGAACTTGGGACTTTGAATTGTTTTTGGCCAATATTTTCATAGATTTCAAACTCTATTTTCCTTGTCTCTTTAGGTTGTTTAGATGATTAGGGACCATATTAGGGCTGTTTCACTTATAGAAAGTACACCCTAAATACATCCCCTAAATCATTATAATTATTATAATTATCCATATATTTTTGTTTTTTGGGAGTAATTTCATCTTGATTTCATTTCAACACACATTGACATAAAACTTTCATATACTTGAGTACAAATGCCAAACAATATCTATTAAAACATACAAGTAAATTAATAAATTAGAACTACCTTATTCATTGTAGATAACTTCAATTTCAATTATATTTCTAACCAGAATTTAAACTTTGAGTCAGAAAGAAAAAATTGAGTTTCTGACCGATTCTCACCATTTTTACATATACTGTAGTGTGCACAGCTGTCTGTTCTACAATCCCTACAAAATGGATTTTTCATAAACCCTAAACGTTTAGAGTTAAAAATTTGTGTGTCTAAATTTGCCGCATATTTCTAATGCCATATTGACAATTTTTTTTACAGTAAACTATACTGAAAACCTATACAGTATTCTGATTTGTTGAAAATGAAGATCATATGCTATTCTGAGAGCATAATAATACCAAATGAACAATTGGTGATAATTTATATTTTTTAATCTGATTTGAAAATCTGAAGTTTTCAATATTCAATTTTAAAAATATTATTGATTTTCTTGTTTTTCAAGTTACGTTGGTGATCATTAAGACAAAATTGGAGAATTTGGTAGTTGATTATGAACAAAAAATTGGAAAGTGTTTGTGCAAGTTTGAGAAACTGATGTTATGTCCAATCACGTATGTATGTTTTGTGCTGTTTAACCCTCAAACTGCTAGGGGCCCAAATGGAATTCACACCCACAGGCGCAACAAAAAAAAAAAAATCCAAAAAATTCTTTCGTCTTATAGAAGTGTTCATTTTTGTTCCCTGATCACGGAAAAAATAACAAAAAAATCGTAGGTGGCATATTTTAGCCGCAATAGGGTAGGGAAGTGTGGCAAAAAAGGGGCGTTGGCAGAGCCTTCGCCAGACGAGGTCTGCTCCGCCCGAGCTGCCAGATGGCAGTTGCCACAAATATATTATTACCTAATTATTTCAATGTCTCTGATTGATTTTTTCTTAATTTTTTTGCAGTAATATTATTCCATACAGTGAATTGTGGTATATTTATATTATAAAATGTGTGAACCATCGCTGTACTCAAAATTATGGTGTGCATATTAGTGATTCAATTATTATGTTCATAAAACAATAAAATAGTTTTGCTGTTGTTACACTATATACACAGGTTATATATAAGTATTTGCATGTTTTGTACACCATAACGAACTACTAAGTTGGTCTTGTGAGTCAAAAAGCAACGAGGAGTGACCGCCAAACACCAGCGAGCCACTCACTGCCACTCCCTCCCTCAACACCACCTCACTCACCCTCATTCACCTCCCACAATACTCTTTCTGTATTTATTCACTATACACAGACGTTATATATACGTATTTACATGTTTTGTTCACCATAACTGTACATCTAAGCTTGTATGGTGAGTAAAGGCCATAAGACGTAGCTACTCACACAGTCAGCTGATCGGCGGCCGCCCTCAAGGCCAGACGCACTAATATTTGTCCTCCAACAATATTGTTTGTGGTGTTATTACGCTATATACACACATTATATATAAATATCTACCTGTTTTATTCACCATACCTGAACAAATAAGCTGGTATGGTGCCCAAAGACCATAGTGGCCATCAGTAAACAACATGTCAAGTCGTGCAGACGACGCTCCTCCCTCACCAAAATGGCGGTTCCCAACCTACTCCTCTCGCTGTTATCACACTCTATACACACGTTATATATAAGTATCTACATTTGTGTTCACCATAGCGAACCACTAAGCTGGTATGGTGAGTGCAGTCAATAAATGGTGGCCACACACAGTCAGAAGATGATGCCACAACCCTCCCTCCACAGCCTTACTCCTCCCTCCATGGAGCACAGCGCTAAATATCACCACAATCCTGCTATTATCAGTATCCTGGTCAGTTTTATCACAGTCAGGGGGCTTCAGTAATACTATCACTGCTAAATAATAGCAGTATCATTTATATTATGGTATTTGTAGGCGATGCTGTGGTCACAAGCTGAACAGCGGTGCTGTGAGCTCGTGCTGCGTGCGCCAGCCTTGGTGGCTTGCTCAATACTGACGCTGTAACACCCAAGAATGTTGGCCTGGATTTTTTTTCTAGGTGGCATCTGGCAACTATCGGTCGTGGCTGTACTATAGCTGCCCCTATCCCAGGCGGGGAGTTTAAATTATAGCGCTAGACACGAAATCATATATAAATGATGTGCGCGGTTTCGGTTTTGTCACTGATATCATTTATATATGATATGCGCGGTTTGAGGATTAAGGGTTAATGATGCTATAGTGGCACACAGGTAAATAAAACACACAATAACACAAAATTAAAGTCACGCAATATAAAATATTTTCATGCAGTACAAACTATAGAGATCTTTGTTTTGCTGCAATGCCTTATACACCTGTTTTACGATGTACTGTACTGTATTAGCTCGCTAATCCGGACTATATGGAAAGGACCCCCAGCCGGATTAGCACGTTTTCCTGATTAACATACTTTTTCACCTGGAAGTCAAGAAGTGACCATTTCCAACAATTTTTATACCAAAACCTAAATATTTTTATTTGCTGAACCTTTTCCCCCCCCCCACACACACACACTATAATTAGTGTGTGGGGCTGAGTGGGTGGTCAGCTGCTTGGCTAGTAGGTGGGCAGGCAGACAGGTGGGTGAGTGGGTAGGAAGGTCAGGTAGGTCAGACACCCACCTATGATACCGACCTATGAACACCTACCCACTCCTGACACCCACCCACTATACCAACTCCTGACATCTGACACCCACCCCTAACACCCATCACACCCACTCCTGACATCTGACACCTACCACACCCACCCCTGATACCCCACCACACCCACTCCTAACACCCACCACACCAGATACAAGATAACACTTGGGAGATGAAATTCTTCAAGAGTTAGAGAAAGACTTTAGGTTGATATAACGCCAGACCTGTTCCCCGAAGCCCATATCAAGAGGATAACATCAGTGGCATATATCAGGTTGGCTAACATAAGAACGGAATTTAGAAACTTTTGTAAGGAATCATTCAGAACTTTGTATACCACACATGTCAGACCAATCCTAGAGTATGCAGCTCTAGCATGAAGTCCACATCTAGTCAAGCATAAGACTAAACTGGAAAAGGTTTGCCACCAGACTAGAACCCGAACTGAGAGGTATGAGCTACGAGGAGAGGCTATGGGAATTAAACCTCATGTCAGTGGAAGACAGAAGAATTAGGGTGGACATGATCACCACATGCAAGATTCTCAATGGAATTGATAGGGCAGATAAAGACAGGCTATTAAACACAAGGGGCACATGCACTAGGGGACACAGGTGGAAATTGAGTGCCCAAATGAGCCACAGAGGTACAGTATTAGCAAGTACTTTTTTAGTGTCAGAGTAGTTGACAAATTTAGAAAGTTAAGAATTAGAAATTGGCATTAGAAAGTGATGTGGTGGAGGCAGACTCCATTTACAGCTTCATGTGGAGATCATAGTGCCCAGTAGGCTAAGGAACCTGTACATCAGTTGATTGACAGTTGAGAGGCGGGACCAAAGAACCAGAGTTCAACCCCCGCAAGTACAACTAGGCGAGTACAACTAGGCGAGTACACCCACTCCTGACACCCACCCCTGGATGGGAGGGAGCAGTCATAACATGTGACCACACAACACAAGCAGGTGGTGGATAACTCCCTACCCATACCTCCTTCCACCCCCCCCCCCTCCCTCCTAACCCTCGTCACAAGTGATGACAACATATTCACTTGCTTTACGATGTACAATGACATCATAATATGCACCTTTATGTTAACCACTGTGCTGCTCAGGCTCCAAATATGGCATCCCCCCCCCCTTCCCCCCTGTGCACAGAAAATAAATGCTTGGCAAATTTTTTTGTTTTGTTTTTTGAAAATGTTAATTTAATTAAATACCCTTCCCTAATCACATATACTGTATGTAGAAAAAAACTGAAATTGTACTCACTTTGGTTGCAATGGGGTACGGAAAATGGGGTGTGATGTCACGATTTGGTGGTCGCCCGTGGCATAGACTTCCGGAGGCAATCACGTGCCAACTTCAACATGCGCAAGTTGCCACAAATAATTATTTGATCATTTTTTCTATACA